TGAGTCTGAGTGCTGAGAGTGAGTACTGAGTGGCGAGAGTTGAGTTACGAGTGATTGAGAGGCTGCCCGAGAGGCCATATTCTGAGTGATACCTTGCCTGAGGGGCCTAGTTATGATATTTTCACTTATTTCACTCTTCTTTTAAAATAAGCCTCTATTGTAAGAACTTGCTAAGTATATGATTTCAAGTATTTAAACTGAAATTGATGATTTTCGACAAAACTGGTTTTAAACTGGGGAATTTGGTCTGCTATTCTGCTGTTTATTCATTTATATGATTTTTAACTGCTCGTCACTGCTTTCAGACCTTATTTACTCTAGTTACTTACTGAGTTGGCATACTCACATTACTCCCTGCACCTTGTATGCAGATCCATGTGCCCGAGCGACAGAGTGAGGGTCCTCAGCTGATCTGGAGTTTGCCGGAAATTGCAAGGTAGTTGCATGGCGTCCGCAACCCTATTTTCTCCCTCCTATCTTGTTTTTTTCCCGCATTTTTTTGACTTATGATGTATTAGACAGTCAGCTATATATTAGATGCTCTAGACTCGTGACACCAAATATTTTGTGCTGTATAGTTTTATGTTTTATTAACTTCCACATATATATATTTGTTGTTTTAAACACTTATTATGGAAATCTAGTATCTAAACCCGTGTTAGAAAATGGCTTATTAAAAGAAAATGGGTTGTGATTAAATGGTTGGGTTGTCTTGCCTAGTAATGTGATATACGCCATCACGACCGGTATTTGGGGTCGTGACAATGGGTAATAAAGGATCTACCTCCTAACAAAAAGGTTCCCGGTTGCAAGTGAATTTACAAGATAAAGTACCATTCTGATGGAATAATTGAGCGACACAAGGCCCAACTAGTTATTCTCCAGAATCATCAAATAGAAAGGATCGACTATAATGAAATATTTTTCCAGTGGCAAAGATGGTAATTGTCCGCATATTTTTTTTGTTGCAGTGCCAAAGATTTGGGAGTTATATCAAATAGACATACATAATGCCTTCCTAAATGGGGATATTCACGAGGAGGTATATATAAAATTGTCTCCTGTGTTTCAGGTTAGAAGTCCAAAAAAAGTGTGCAGACTTCAGAAATCTCTTTATGGGTTAAAGCAATCGCCGAGGTGTTGGTTTGCTAAGTTGCCGGCTGCCTTGGAGGACTATAGGTTCAATCATTCTTACTATGATTACTCTTTTTTTACTATGAAAAAGGGTAAAGTTTGATTAAATATCTTTATGTATGCTGATGATTTGATTCTCTCAGGCAAAGAGCTCGAGACTATCTGCGAGCTCAAAGCATATCTTGGAAAATATTTTCACATGAAGAATTTGGGTAGATTGAAATAATTTTTGGGAGTGAAAGCCTCTAGAAATTTGGATGGCATCTTCTTCAGCTAACGAAAGTATGTCTTAGATTTTATCTTGTAGGTTGGGTTATAAGATGCTAAGCATGTTAATGCCGTGGAACAGAATCATCGGCGGGCATTGGCGGATGGACGAACGCTTGATTACCCTAAGCGATATAGTCGTTTGATAGGTTGACTTATTTATTTGTCTTTCACTCAGCCGCAACTATAATATAGTGCTCATATTCTATCTATGTTCATGCAGCAACCAAAAGAAGAGCATTTAGATGCAGTTTTACGGGTTGTCCGCTACTTCAAAAGGAATCCGGGACAAGGCATTTTATTGAGAAGCAAATGTGATCTGCGTCTCTATGAATGGTGTGAATCTGATTGGGCCATTTGTTTATTGACTCGCCACTCGTTCAGAGGCTGGTTTATCTAGCTAGGTAATTCAACCATTTCTAAGAAGTAACATACCATCTCTCGATCATCTGCAGAGAATGAATATCATTCTATGGTAATGACAATCTGTGAGCTGAAATGGTTGAAGGAAATTTTATCTAATTTGGGAGTGACTTGTACTTCCCTTATTTGTTTTTATTGTGCTGGTCAAGTAATGTTGTACATGGTTAATAATTCAATCTTTCATGAAAAAAATTAAACAGATTGAAGTGGATTGTCATGTTATTTGTGAAGAGAGTGACAACAGGAAAATTTTTCCTAGCTTTATGCCTTCACACGAGCATTTGGCAGATATCTTTACGAAGGCATTAGGAAAATCTCAATATGTTTCCTTCTTGGAAAGTTAGACATTTGTAATTCGCATAAGCCCAACTTAAGGGGGAGTATTAAGCGCGTGTTTGTATATATTATATGTATGGTAAAATATATTGAATGTTTAAGACTAGGAGAGTTTGTCATATTTGTTAGGACTAGTTGAGTTTTTCGTATTTAGCTAGCAAAATTTCAGCGCTTCGAGCACGGTCGTTAAAAACTTTATTCGACATACAAAATAATCCTTATACTAATATCCGAATATGTTAAATATCATACAGTTTTCCAACCTAATAGATAAAAATTGAAATTTTAATCCATCTTTATCTAGCGAATTAGTATGATTTTTTTTCTTCTAATTTTCCATCGCTTATATGTTTCTAGTCTTCTAGACCCCAATATTAAAATAAAAATACCGATTGAACGAAATTAAAAGAAAAAGGGTAAAATCGAATATATCACACAAATCAACAAAATCGAATTCTACAAAGTTTTTCAATCTTGTAGACCTACCCAAGACAAAATAACAACACATAATGAAAGAAATTAAAAGAAAAAGGGTAAAATTGAATCCGTGGCACAAGTCAATGGAATCAAATTTTACAAATATTTTCTCTAATTTTTTCCTTCCCTTTTCCATTTAAGTTACCTTTTTCTTCTATTTCCTTTTTATTTTTCCTTTTTCTTTATTACTCCTTGCGCATTTAGTTTGCAAAAAAATAATAATAAGAAACTCCTTTTTCTTCTTCTCTAATTTCTCAAAATAAAGATAGCAAGTAACCAAAGAACCTCAATCCATAATAACGATAGGTAACCAATGCGATTTTGAGGCATAATAATGGTATGTAACTAAAGAGACACAAAGTATTTTTTTTATTGGTTTTTAAAAATAAAACTGAAAAAAAAAAAAAAAAAAATGGAAGGGCAAAAAAATAAAAATGAGAATCCTTTTTTATTGAAGGTTATTGAAAGAGACATAAAAGCATTAGTAGTTATTCTCATCTTCGTATAAGAAGAGTACTCTCACCTCTTTAATTCTCTCTTATCCCCGGAAAAATAATGATAGAAAAATCAAACACATAAAATAGCAAGCACATAAAAAGATTAAAAGGGAATATGCACAAAAAACCATTGCCTGCAATTTTTAAATAAATGAATAATGAAAGTGAGCATCCCATTCAACACAAACAAAAAGAAAAAAATTGAGAATGAACTATCAAAAGTCCCAATCTCCTTTGAAATCAGAAGAAAAACAAAGTTACCTGAATCAAGACAACCGTGATACCAAAGTAGAGGTTTCAATAGTTTTATTTATCCATACGGAGTTTCATATATTGCTGTGAGACATTTTGAATACAAATAATAAGGCACGTACTCAAAAAATGAGAATGAAAACTCATTACCAATATATGCTACATTAAAATTTATACGGTAAAATTGTAATAAGGCATGGAAAGAAAAACATGATCATACCTTCACGGATGAAAGATCGCAAAAACTCTTTAAGAAAAACAAAAATTAAATGGGAAGCCCGTTAATGTTCGTGAAGCCTAAGTGCAACATGAATGGGGACGAAGGGAGTATTTATTTTCAATATAAATATAAAATTGAAATGTTTCCACTTTCCAGTTGCACCAAGGACGTACAAGGGACGGAAAAACAAGAGCCATGCATGGAGGAATTTGTTATGTGCACGTGCAAACATAGAGCTCTCTTTCTCTGTCTCAAATAAGCCTAGTTCGCCTTTTGGCTTTCCTGTTTCACTTTCCATTTATTGTAATTCGCCATCAAAATCATCTATTTTTTTTTTTGTTTTTCTCTCCAAAAGTCATTACTTTACCTAGTACTCCCTCCGTTCCAATCTATGTGAACCTGTTTGATTGGACACGGAGTTTAAGAAAAAATGAAGATTTTTGAAATTTATGGTACTAAAAAGTCCAAATGGGGCCCAGAATATTTGTGTGATTATAAAAGCTTCTCATTAAGGGTAGAGTTGTAACTTTAAACTAAATTGTTGCCAAATTTAGAAAAGGTTCATTCTTTTTGGAACGGACCAAAAAGGAAATAGGTTCACGTAGACTGGAATGGAGGGAGTAATACTCACGAATTTTTCAGTGAAAATTATTGATGTGAGAGGTTCAATTATAAACAAAATACAAAATTTAGAACTTCCACTAATTTAGGACCTAACCCACCCTAGATTCGACACAATCCTTCACCCACCCACTTATATTGGTCCAGTGGCGGATCCAGAGCATGAAGATTGGGTTCATCGAAACTCAGTAGTTTTTGTTCTAACCTGGTATATATACTAAGAAATTAATTAAATATATATAAATATTATTGTATATTAAGTTAAGATCGTTAAAGGAACCCACTAACTTTAAATTTTGGATCCTCCTCGATTAATGGGTCGACTATATAATAGAGTACCAGTAAGTTTTCGCAGACTTGCAATTGCTACAGAACTCAGGATATTCCATCAGAGTTTCAGCAACTAGCAAATTAAATAACTATGGCATAAATGTTATTGTATTCACCTACATGGTTTTAAGGGTTAGTGCTTTTGTTAGGTCTCGTATTTAGTCCCAGAATCTTAATTAATTTATTTTTTGAAGAATCCCATGCAAGAAGTGTGTGGAACCAGCGCTGAATCTTTTTTGGATTAAAAAGTGGGTGGGTTGGGTCATACATTGTTACAGGTGGTAAATTTAGTATTTTCAAATATTTTAATTTGCTTAAACGTGTCATGCCAATAATTATCTGCCGTAAATAATAGAATTCGGATAAGATAACACATGAAAGGTTAACTAGGTAAAATATCTATAATTGATCTTACTTAAACATTTTAGAACTTGTAGCAACATTCAGACAGAAGTATAGCTCTGCAGATTTTGAATTCAACACTAAAAAATAAAGTAGTACTTAGTTCGTACCTGGAAGTCCTTGTTGATAATCATCGCCACCGTGCAAAAGACATTAGCAGAGAAACACATAATCATTTGCATCTCTAATACCATGGGGTAAGTAACAGCCTTTTTTGCCTTCGTATAAGTTAACTCTAAGAGTGGCGGCACTATCCCATACAAAGCTGCGGCTGAAAGCGACATCATGAACCCAAGAAAATACATCTTAATTGACTCGCCAGTTGAACGGTCGCCATTCACACGAACAGCCAATATTCCAGCTCCTAGAGTAAGCAAAACTATTGCATTTGTTCTATATACAGTAATCTTCTGCTTAACAATGACATAAGCAAACAAGTCTGCGAATGGAAACTGGGTAGAAGCTAAAAGAGTCGATGTGGAAACGGGTAGTAGTGATGAACCCAAAGTGCTACAATAACACTGGAGGACATAGAGGATGCCGAGAGCTGCAGCAACTATTGTTTCCTGACAACTTACGGAAAAGAAGTTGGTTTCAGAACCATAGATTTTACGACGATGGAAATAGGCGATGGTGAGAGGGATAAGAAAGACTGGGAAACCAACAGATTGTAACCAACTAAACAGCCACAATCTTTTGCCTCCATGATTTAAATATAGGCCAGCGAGTAAAGGGGGTCCGCAGGTGCCTATGGAGAGCATGATACAATTGAGAAGTAAGAGAGGTTTCTTCATTATGGTATTACCTTGATCTTCTTATATTTACGTTTGCAAGCGATGATGCATGTGAAGTATGTAGCGGAATATATAGTAGTTTCGCGGCTTGCACTTGGAATCTGGTCCACGATTGCCATGTTATTCGGGGTGCGTGCAGCATATACACATATATGCCACTACCATTAAAAAATCATATATGATCGATGGTACTTGATTTCGGTATATATATATATATATATATATATACACAAAGAAATGGAAGACTTAAACGGTAAAGACTTGGCCGATTATTTTGAGTATTTTAGCGCATTATTCCTATTCGATGCTTTATATATGTGTATTTGTGATTATGAGACTTGCCGGGGTGGTTCGTTTTGTTTTGAGAAGTTGTGGATTGAATTGGGATACGTAGTTCCAAGGCTGGATGCCTAAGTTGTAAGAGTTGACTAAAGTTTGACTTTTATATAGACGACACCGAAATTAAGGTTTGATGGTTCCAATAGCTTCGTATGGTAATTTTGGTCTTAGGTTGTTGTCCGGATATGAATTTGGAGGTCTCTAGGTCATTTTGGCTTGAACCAGCAAAAGTTGGAAAGTTAAAGGTTTGAAAGGTTGATAGGATTGACGGGGAGTTGACTTTGTTGATATCAGGTCCGAATTTTGGTTCTGGGAGTTGGTATAGGACCATTGTGTCATTCGGGACTCATGCAAAATTTGAGGTCATTCCGAGTTGTTTAGGCTTGTTCGGCATAAGTTTTGAATTCGGAAATTTGGTTTAGTTTCTTAGGCTTGAATTGAGATGCGATTCGTGGTTTGGATGTTGCTTTGTGTGATTTGAGGTCTTGAGTGAGTTCGTATTATGGTTTGAGAATGGTTGGTGTGATTGGACGGGGTCCCAGGGGCCCTAGGTGTGTTTCAAATTGATTTTAGATTGTTTTTGGACTTTGTTGCATTGCGGAAGATTCTGAGTTATGATGCTTTCACACCTACGATGGATGGGCAGCAGGTGCGAGGCTACAGAAGCGGCTGGTTGATCGCAGATGCGGTGAGTAGCTGGGGAAGGCTGGGTTTGCAGGTGCGGACTTAGAAGCGCAGGTGTGCAAGCATAGGTGTGCAGGAGAGGCCGCAGAAGCGAAGGCGCAAGTGTGTTTGGTGAGTCGCAGAAGCAAAAGGTCGGGAGTTTACAGGAATTGCAGAAGCGGAAAATCGGGAGCTTGGTTAGGGGCAATTTTTGAAGGGGTTTTCATCACAATTTAAGGGGTAAGTGATGTGTACAAAAATTTGGTATTAGTTAATAATTACCCATAGATTATTACACCTAAATTTTATGATTTAAAGGTGGGATTTAGGGGGGGGGGGGGGGGACTATAATTTTAGAGAGTGAGATTTGGTGACTTGAGGGTCGATTTAAGGCTGGAATTGGATGAAACATATGTATTTGGACTCATGTCGGAATGGGTGTTCTGAATTTGTGAGTTTTTGTCGGGTTTTAGGTTGTAAGCCTGTGGTTGACCTTTTGGGTTGATTTTGCGTAATTGATTTAAGATCTTAGCTTTATAATTTGTAATCATTTCCTATAGCTTTTGTTGATGATATTATGTTATTTTGGCTAGATTCGAGCCATCCGGAGGTTGATTCACGAAGGAAGGGCCTATTAGACGATTGATTTGGCTTGATTGAGGTAAGTATCTTTCCTAAACTTGGTTGAGGCACTAGTTACTTGAGTTATTTGTAATTGCTACGTGCTATGTGTGGCGCACATGTGTGAGGGTTGAGACCATATGCGTGCACCGAGGTATTTATTCATGCTTGGGGAGTGCTTAGGATATGATATGCCTTGAGTTGATTGCTAAGCTTCGTGCTATGATGGTTCTTATATTTGTATCCTTGTTGTGAGCTATTTCAACTATGTTTGAGGTTTCATTGAGGGTAATCTCCTGATTGAACATGATAATTGCTAATTTGTGATGTAATTGCCTGATTATGCTATGATAGCTGTTTACCGTGAAAATGGTAATAACAATTAAATTTGTAAATGGGACTCTAAAAATACGTGATCTATTTCTATGCTAGTTGTTAGAGCAGTTGATGCTAGGCGTACGGAGTCTAATGGCGAAATACAAGTTAAAACGCGACAGTAATTAAACCGAGGGTCTTGCTACCCGGGCTTTGGATTGATCGATGAAAGGCCTCGACGGTGATACCCGGCTCGAGCTCGAGCTATGGAGTGTAACCGGGAAGGGGATAAAAGTTAGGATATAATTAAAGAAGGTTCTTTATGGCCAATATCAAGCAATAAATGAAGAACAAGTATGAAAGCAATTAATAAAGAAGTAGCCTCAAGTGAGTGAGTTAGAGAGAAAAGAGAGAGAAATGTTATTGATCTTCTAAAGAATAGTTGAAGTGCCTCTTACATAGTGTTAATGATTCCCCTTTTATAGGAGGGGGGGGGGGGAGAATCCAAACTTAGTACAAGATACATTGAGTGATAAAGGAAGTGGGATGTGACAACTAACTAGCTTCATGATGTATACGTAGACTAACGTTAGGCTGCCCAGGTAGACTTAATTAGCTCTGGATGCACTCGAAAGCCTCCCATGCTCGTTAGGGTCTCGACCGACATTATTCCCAGGCCGGGTGTCGACAGACCTTGAGGGAAGTATTCGGCTTGAGGTCTCGAGTCTCCGAGGCGATCTCCTGAAGCAATTTGTTAATGAGAAATAGGTCTCCCCGATTTTACCGTACATAGATAGTCTCCGCGTTTCTTAGAGAGAAGCGATAAGAAATGATTTTGACATCCCACTTTATGGGCTCCCATAATGACGTCGTGTTGATGACGTAACCCCTCATGAGTGCCGAAACATTTCACCGTTTTTCTTTTTCAGGGTTGTTCGACGTGTTGTGATTCCTCGTTCTTTGGGGTCATAATGTTGTCGTTGTTTCAGCTCCCACAAACACGTTGGATGCGCCTGTCGTTACATTTTTCGAGGGAGATAATGGTGCCGTCGGTTATCTTGCCCTTCTTCTCTATAAATGGGGCGCTTTGTGATTAGTTTTTCATCCAAGCTTCCCCCAATATCCATCCTTTCCTCCTTTCTTGCTATCTTTATTCTTTGTTGTTTTGCTATGTTTGAGGCCCATGGGCTTAAGATTTTATGTCGACGTCATGCGTGCTACGGCCTGTCTCCCGAACCTTCTCTGGTTGGACGAAGCTATGCTGCCTCGATGTTATTGTTGCTGTTGTGGTTGTTATTGCTGTAACCGTTAGCTTGGGGTGATAAAGTAGAGGACCGATTTCCTCCGACCCGAGGAAGTATTTGGATTATACACTGCTGCTCAAGAGAGGGCTCGGATTATACACCACTGCTCACCCTCCTTCTTCGGCTTGGCGTATTACAACCCTTTTGGATTCCTTGGGGTATGGTGATACTTTCTTCTGGTTGCCGCCTCCCAGGCCGGGGCAATGTCTCAAGAAGCGGCTTTATAATAGCAGCACTAGCGGAGTTCATACTAGCCAAATTTTTCACCCAGCCACTTCTTGTCTCCTTTCGTCACTTTGCTCTTCTCCATCGCTTTCCTCTTCTATGTCCTCCCTTTTGAAGATGCCATTCCGGGAGGGTCGAGATGAGATTCCCGAGGGGATAGGGCTTGCAAGATATTGTCTTTAAGGTCACGCTCCTTAGGAGATGATGCCGAAGATGCCGCTATTGAGGATGTACCTTTGGGAATAGGCTAGATTCTTAGACTTTGTTGTATGCACACCCTTCTGCTTCTTTGTTTCTGTGTAAGGATCCCCTTGCGGACTTTTGTAATCATATGTGAGGACAAGCCCGAGGTCTGTTGTAAGCAAACATTTATGAATACAAAGATATTTTCTTGACTTCTGCCTTTGATACTTGCCGTATTTCTTTTATGTTCGCGGAGGCGCCGAATGCATGATCCTATGTGTTGTTGTTGATACTGAACCCGGATGCGAATATTCCTTCCAGCCTTCGGTTGATGGAAACGGCTTTGCACGAGGTCTTTTGTGGTTCCTTGGATCCAACCCGAATAAGGCCGAAAAATTCAAGCCACCGGGACCCTGATTTTGTGTGAAAATGAGAATAATGTCATGGGCTTCGGGGTCGTGACTCACCAGTTGTGTTCCATAATAACCTTTAAGAAGAAATTTGCTCGGGGACCCGTGGGCGGAGTCTGCTTTGTGATATCTTGAAAGTAGTCTTCGAGCGAAGGCTTGCTCGCGCTCGGACCATCTGGAAGCGTGTTTTAGTGCGAGTAGTCTTACGGTGTTGTAGATAGATTCTGAAACGAGGGTTTGTCCGACTCTGGACGTCACCCGGAGCCAGGTCCGTACGGGCGAAGTTCAAAGAAAAAATGCTCATCTCTTCATAGCTTGGTTCCCTTTAATGGAGATCCTTGAAGTCGTGTGTCACCCTTGTGTTAGCGAAGGCATTGTTGGATCTCCGAAGCGTGGCCTTACTTTAACGGAGGTCTTCAAGGTTGGGTACCGCCTCCAGGCTGGAGAGGATGCTATCGGTTGGCGTTCCCCATTGGTTTTGAAGTAGGTGAATCGTCGCCGCCTTTCCCACATATAATATGAGGTTACTTCCGCCTTCTCAGGGGCTTCCCCGTCTTACGTAGTTGCCATTTTCTTTCTGCGCCATGTTTCCGGTATTGACACGCCTATACATCTTTTCGCCTCTTAGCTCTTCAACTTTGCGATCGCTTTGGCAGTTATGTCGGGGTTAATCTGAGAAGGAGGGGAGAGTTCCCCCCGGTCCTCGGGATCGTCGAGGTCTACTGACTTCATGGTGCTGGTTGATTACACCCTTTGTTGTTGTTGTCGAGGACAATCGAGACCAGGCATGGATGAGTCGCTTTGCCCGGGTGCTGACTGCTAGTATTATACCTTAGGAACCCGTATTATTTATTGGAGAATGGATCTATAATCTTAGCTGGCGCGCCCCGTGCTTCACTAGTTCTGCCTATGGCAAGAGCGGATTTAGTAGCTGTGCCTTTCTCCTTTCCTGCAGCAACTTCGTGGGCGCCAGGCGAAGTTTGCCGATTTGCCCGGCTGGGTCCGGAGGTTGGCGATCCATTCGACTTGCGATGAGCATAGGTGGCGAGCTATGTCCCC